AACAATCATTAGCGATTTTTTTTTAATCACTTTAAAACATATAAAAAACTCAGGTAACTGCTTCCATAATAGCGGCTGCGTCGGAGAATAGCAATTAGCTCACTTAAAGCAGCAATCAAAGACGACATCAGCCGTCCAGAGATACAACAACATACGAACGATCGGGCTGAGGCAAGACGACAAGGGATTGCTCTAGGTCACTACAGAACGCAGTTGCTAATGGCAGGGTTCTAGAAAAATGTGGCAACTATCACTATCGCTAAATGTGGTCAGTGGTTCAGTTATATGCAAACGTATTTGCCACGATGTATAAATGGCGAAGAAATTAAAGGCTAAAATAAATAAAAAATCGCTAATGATTGTTTTATTTCTCTTATTGTCCATTCGAATCATGCAAATGTTTGTTGAACCACGCCATAGAATATAACATTGACCTTCATGATTGTCCAAACGCATTATAGATTGTCAATGGTTATGCTAATAGCACTAATGAATTTTCACTTTTGGGTAAATGATTGTCCATAAATGCWATTGTTTGTCATTTGGTGTTATTGAAGTTGAATTTCGCGCACAAGAAAATACAATCCGCGCATATTAATGTACAAACGCGCTATTGATTGTCCATTGATGCCCATGAATGTACACGCATATTCAATTATCGTTATTGAAAGTTGATCCGCGCTAATGATGTTACTTGTGGTGTTGATGAAAGWACATTACACGTTATTGATACAACTATTGGCACAAATGAATGTACATTTTCTGTTAATGAACAGCAAAAGGTGTAAACTAGACCGATAAGCAGGGCTATTTTTATTCCGTTGTTGATTGGTTGCTTACCTTTTGTAGGTTGGGGTATGACGTCACACCCAGGTAACTCCAGCACAGTCCTCCAACAAGCCCCCATGCCAGTAGCGCCCAGTACTCTATGCCAAACCGGCGTTCTTAACGAAGCGCACGTCATAACTCCCGGTATGCTCTGCGCCGGCGATAAAGGAAAAACAAAGATCAGCGGTTGCTTTGGTGACAGCGGAGGCCCGTTCGTGTGCCGGTAAGATTTGTAAAACTCTATTTAACAATTATTATTAAATATCGGGGAATATTTACATCGACAAACGATCGAGCGTGCGCTTGCGCGTTATATTCAATTTTACTAGGTGAGTATAGCAACATAAGACGTAAATTGTGACCAATGAGCGCGCCGCCGGATTTAATATATTCACTAGTGTAAAAATACTAAATGTTATTATTCTATGTTTGTACTTGTAATCGTAAGTGTCTTTTCTCATTCGCCATACCAAGGTGGTAAATACCGCTGTGTTTTACGACTAAAGACTCATCAGCACAGGCTCAGTCTCGCTTAAGAGCAAATCATTTGCAAAAGAATGTGTAGCTTGAATAATACCAATGTCTTGAAATCCCACGGACTTTAATTGATATAAGTGAATAGCTGACTTACAAACGAGGATGAACCTGTGTGGTTGAGTACGTGGTCTTCAAAAGCAGCTGTATGCAATCTACCGATTGCGAAACTGGTGTATTGCGAATGTGACTCTGAATGTGACCATGTATCCTGGCGCAATTTTGAAATCTTCAACGATTTGGGAAAATATGAGATGCATATTGATACTAACCAGTTGGTCTTCATGTCATAGGAATGCCATTGGTCAGTGGGTACAGCAGGGCGTGGTAAGCTGGGGTGGACCTTCGTGTAACTCGTCCAATCACTTCACCATATTTGCACGTGTCAGCATGTATAGGGACTGGATCGAGAAAACTATTCAAGAAAACCAAAAATAAACTGGAACAATCCTATGTTAAAAGACCATAAAAACTAATCTAATATAATGATATTTAGACTAGTATCATGTTTCTGCGACCCAAGCAGCTTCAGATGCCAGTTTTCTTGTATTTTTGCTACCGCCAATCAAATTTACTTTCACAGGACGATTAATTATTTAAGGCAGGGGCTTAGAAAGGAAAACAGAAAAAATGCATTTTTCTACGATCCCCATTAGAATGACCAGAATTTTTTCGCGACCGGCCCCTGTATGCTTCTAGCATTTTAACGTACTCCTTATGAATAACTCATCAAGGACCCCATCTTCTCACCCAGTCCCCTCTTCCTTTCCGATAAATGATGAATAGTGATGATGATGATAATGATAATGATGATGATGATGATATAAAATCAAAAACGCAGACGTCTAGACTTGTGGCAGTCACAGAGACATGAAAACGTAAAAAATTAAAACTTGTTTGAAACAATAAAACATATCTATGGTTTGGTCGATGAGAGAAACTGTAGCTTACTTTAAAGTACAGGCATTAAACGTTTAAAAAATTCAGCCTATTTTTTCACGTTTTACCGCCATTATCGTTGAAGTGCGACCCTCGAAGTTTGACTTCTAGTTCTATCTATATTAGAATTCCATGAATATTTGATTAAACATTGCTCTTACATTCATTTGCAGCACTTAAATAAACCCTCAGAACCGTAAAAAGTACTTGAGATATCGTTCACTTGTACGCGTCCGCCAATATTGGATTTCGAGAAGCTCTTATGTAACGTGACTGCAATGTTTACATCGAAGCAGAAAGCAATAGAAACGTGACGTGTACCGCTCTCCAGATCTGGAGCGAATCCCGGATTGATTACATATGATTACCTATACTTACGCATGATTGCCTGTTCTTACGTATGATTACCCGTACTTATGTATGATTACCTGTGATTACCTGTCGTTACCTGTGATTACCTCTGATTACTTCTGATTACCTGTGATTACCTGTCGTTACCTCTGATTACCTCTGATTACCTGTCCTTAGCTGTGATTATCTGGCTTAGTGCAGTTTTCGTATGACTGTGAAAAATTCACGGCACGAACACGGCCATGACACGGCAAGGGATACGCCAGACCAATCACATTGCACGAGAATTTACTCTCCATCCAATCAAATACCCGAGACACGACATAAACACGGCGCGGACTCGGTCACGCTAAGGTCACGGCAATGCCAGACCAATCACATTGCGCGTGAAAAAATCAGCCAATTTTAATGTTGATTTTAAAAAATTCTAGAAAGCATCACGGTCACGGCACCTCACGCTTACGGCACTGAGCTTTTCACAGTCATACGAAAACTGCACTAGTGATACAGCATGACAACAAGTTAGAAAAGCAAAAATGTATATATGACCCAAACCCAAACGAAAGTACTGCTCGATCAAATCATTTCGTGTAACGGTATCCATTCATGTTGTTAGTGTAAATGGATGGGCCGGCTTGGACAGAGTGCGAGGGTTTCTATATATATACACATATTTCTATATTTTTTATGTTTCGAAAATTCATTGTAAAGCGTTATAGAGTGTAATATATAACGCTACGAAAATTCATCAAATTATTATTATTATTATTATCATTATTATTAGTATATGTAATAGGACTCCATGCTGTCCAATTAAGAAATAATTTGACGAGGAAAATTCCGACGAGGACTGACAAAATTGGATGAGGCCGTAGGCCGAGTCCAATTTGGCAGTCAGAGGAATTTTTCGAGTCTAATTATTTCTTGATTGGGGAGCATTAAATCCCATTACCTATTAATTATATAGCTGCCTAATTAATCCCATATCAACAAGACCTGTCCAATTAAGAAAATAATTGGACAGTTACCTATATGGGATTAATAAGAAGCTGTATAATTATTATTATTATCATTATTATTTTTATTTTTATTATTTTTATTATTAT